GAGAGAAATAATATATATATATATATATATATATATAGTAAGGTCTCACAATTTTTTTAAACCTTTTACAAAATCTTTCCATTTATGAAGTTTTTTTTTTCTTTTGCCATGGACTCCATTACTATTTTCTCTTTTTTCTCACTTTTTCCCTATTTCAATGAACTAAAAACTTTATTTTCTTATATTTTTTCTTAGAATGTAGATTATAAACCTAATTCAATTTTACTAAACTAATTTGTATGATGAAGTTTGTCCTTCACTTATAAACTCTTTAAATATTTAACCTCTTTAAGTTTTTTCCAATATACCTTTAACATTTTAAGCTTAATGTATGTATCAATAATGTGTGACTCTTTTAGAGTGAATTTATGATAACTTTGTTATCATCTTAAAAAGTAGATTATAGGTCTGACTTAATTTTACAAAACTAACTTTTAAGGTGATAATTGTCCTTTAATTATATACTTTTTAATATCTTATATTTAGTTAATGTGAAATTTAAATTTTTTTCAATACTTGAAACTTCTCTCTTCTCAAAATCTATTAAAACAAGTAATAGGTAAGTATTTACGTCTTTAAAGAGATAAGAAGAGATGAAAAAAAAGGATTAATATGATTTAAGAGGTATGATAAAAAGAGAGAAGTAGATAAGTATCAATAAGATGTTTGTATTTTTTTTGTAATCATAGTACCAAATATTTATCTTTAAAAATAGTAACTAATTTTTGTCAAGAACAGTAAATGTATACAAGATAAATATTATTTTTCTAATATGATTTATTATTGTATTTCATATTCAAAATTAAGATTCAAACTTAACAACTTAATTAAATGACATAAATCTCGTTTCCACTCATGTCAACCGGTATAAGTTATTCTATTAATTTATTTAGGTGTAAAAAAAAAAAATCAACGTATGAATTGTTATTCCATAACTATTTATATGTGTCACATGATCGATACGAACAGAAACAATTTAACCAATGTCTCTCCAACACATATTCCTCTTTGGCTGGAGGAATTAGTTTATTAAAGATGTGCCACATTACAAGCTGAAATGGAAATCATGAAATAGGTGGACTCAAACTGAAATTCACTTCAACAAAAACACACAGGATGGTGTACACCACCTTACATGTTTATTATTTTGGTAGAGTACAGGCCATGCATACTACTTATTTATTACACAAAACACTTAAAATGATCATTTTCTTTAACTAAAGTAAACCATATTATAATTTCTTTAATCACCACCTCCTCGACCGTAACCCCCACCATAGCCATAACCCTCACCATGACCATAGCCCTGGCCTGAGCCTCCACCACCACCACCTCCGCCGCCTCCACCGCCTCCGCCACCTCCCCTTCCTTGACTTCTTCCTGATCCTGAACCGGCCCGAGAGCCTGCATATGAACCAGCTTCGGAGCCAGCTCCGGAGCCAGACCCAGAACTAGAAGATGAAGAAGCTGAACTTGAGGCAGAGCTGGAACTAGAACCAGAACCAGAACCAGACCCTGCTCCAGCTCCAGCTCCAGAGCCACTGCCACCTCCTATCCCCAGGCCCACCCCTACTCCAAGCCCAACCCCCAGCCCACCAAGGTCCAGGCCCAAGTCCTTCCTCGCCACTCTACTCTCTGATACAATAGCTGACACAAAAAGAAGCAGTGCAAGTAGACAACATGACCAAGATGCAGCCATGTTGCGTGCAATGTAGTTTTCGAAAGTAACAAAGCCAAGAACAAGGTAGATAAAGAAGCTCTAGTATTACAACAACAAACTATGAAGGGTGGTGTAGTGATGTCTCTAGCTATACTAGTTTTCAAGTATTTATAATTGCTGAATGATGATGTTGATGCTTTGGTTATGAGGTGAGTGAGAGTTGTAGAGTGGGGATGATGATGTGAACAAGTGAATATATAGATTATTTTAACTTTGAGGCTAGAAAGTGGGGATGATGGCGTGGCATTCTTGGATTTTGATGGAGAAAAGCTTGTGGTTGACATAGCTTCTGCGTCTGGCACATCACATGATTCAAGACAAGTGCCAATGCAATACCTACCCATAATGGCCACTCTTACCATAGTGGAGGGATGAAAGGCTGTGTTGACTATGTTTTTGCTTATTAAAGTTTAATTTTTATATTAGTAATGTTTTGTGCCGCCAGCTAATGGCCGGTTATGGGTGATGGTACGGCTTTGTTCATACCCACAATGACATGCTTTATGTTTGCTTGAGGTGCACTCTCCTAATAATTCTAGTACATGGTACCATGGTAGTGTCACTAGTGCGGTATCGATCAAGCTTTTGTCGTATGATATCCAATTTGTGCAAGGAATTGCTCACGTTAAGATTATTCGTAGGAGATAGGGTTTAAAATTGGTTTTCTCCTCAGAGTGACATACTCAATGGAGACAACGAATCAATTAATTTCCAAATTCTTCTGCTGGTCACACGTAGATCTATACAATGTGTAGTTTCATTGGATATATTATAAGTTGTGATTCTTTCTTCTTTTTTTTTTTTTTGAACGAGTGGTATAGAAGCACTTTTAATATGTTTCCTGTAAGAGAAATCGTGATCTTTTCTTTCCTATCTAAGCCTAAGTCAAGCACTTTGGACACTGCAATAGTATAAACATCTGTATTGTTATCACTCTATTTTTTATTTATTTTTTTTATCTTACATCATATCACTTATTATTTCTTTGGGTGTAGACGCGAGAACATTGGAATGTCCATAGAACATTTTCCTCTCAGCCATGCAAGCTTCATATACTTCGATAGAATTTTCCGTGGTTAAGATAAAGCTAGGCTGCTTTTCTAGATTGTTCTCCTCGTATACTTTACATCTTCAACGTGTTTTAGTGGTTTTACAAATAGAAAAACATATCCTCAAATATAGAATTTGAATTACGTGCCAATCATATATCCCACTAAACATTGTGCTCAAGTTAGTGGGATACGCTGCTATTAATGGCCTCATCTCAATGATAAAAAAAAAATAGAGTATAAACTGCATATCTATCTTTCTGCTATAACTTCCACCTAGAAAAATCAGGTTATTATAGTATATAAAACTATGCTTAATAAATAAGGTTTCCCCTTGTGAATAAGAGTTGATTCAACTGCATAACATACAACATGATCAAATAATATTACAAAAAAAGTTCAGTATTCAAGCTCAGTATTTTGGGATTTGTCCTCCTTATAACAAAAAAGTAAATGATTTTTGCTAGTAATATGTTTTTTTGTTAATTTATTTAATTATTAGATCAGTCTACTATATCTTAAAATTTGAATTCAGGTCTAATTTAACTTTGAAAGTTAGTCTTCCTTATAACAAAAAAATAAATGATTTTTTATTAATAACTTATTTATTAAATCAATATAATTTAATGGAGTGTTTGGAGTAATTCAATCTCAAAAAGTCCTCATGATGAGATAAAAGTTTTTTCTCACTTGTTCAAGGATAGGACATTTCCAACATGAAGTTTACATAACTTAGACAAATATAGTTCAAAAACTGACTCATGTTATCCTTGGTTTTTTACACCGTTTTGGTTATATCAAGGTGGAATTTCCAACAACTGACTCATGTTATCCTTAGTTTTGTACACTATTTTGGTAATATATCAACGTGGAATTTCCAACACGAGTAACTATCCTTTGAAATTAATTTTATAATTTTAAGAAATGAATTATCTCTGAGACAAAGGCTGCAAGTGACATCCCCACTTCCTAGTGTCCCATGACGCACGCCTCCTGTTTTTACCCATGCTTTCCGACCTCTCTAGCTATCAATCTATTCTCAACTATAAATAGCATGCAGCAGAACATGCCTCTACAAAACATTCTAACCACCGAACTCATCTTAGCTACCTAAGTTAGTTTCTCATACACCCTTCACCCTTGTGTTTTTATATTAATCCGTGACCGTGTCAATGGCCACTACTATGAGGGTGTTAGCTCTTGTTGCTATGTTTGTTGTTGCAGTTAATGCAATAGTGTCTGAAAGTAGAGTGGCAAGAAAGGACCTAGGGTTGGACCTTGGTGGGGTGGGAATTGGGGTGGGTGCTGGGGTTGGAATTGGCCTTGGTGGTGGGGGTGGTGCTGGTTCTGGTGCAGGTGCTGGCTCAGGCTCAGGCTCTGGCTCTGGCTCTTCCTCTTATTCAAGTTCTGGCTCTTCTTCTTCATCAGGTTCTGGAGGAGCAGGTTCTGAAGCTGGTTCCTACGCAGGATCTCATGCTGGATCTGAGGCTGGCTCAGGCTCCTCTCGTGCGGGCTCCGAAGCAGGTTCATATGCAGGGTCTCATGCAGGGTCAGGATCATACGGTGGTAATGGAAAGTAAAATCATGCATGCAAGTTAGTTAACAGAATTATATTCTAGTACCTAGTCGCAAAAATAAGTTTATGTGTGTCCATCCTTTTTTTTTTTGTACGAAGTAGGAGCCATGGTAATGCTTCTCCCTGCTTTGTCCAATGTGTAACAATATGCTTCAAGGGTTGAATAATTTAATCATGTATGTATACGTGTCTGTTACTTTGTTACTGGCTTATCTTGGTGACAATTCTATAATATTATCAAACTATGGCTTGATAACAACCAGTGCCTGCCTAATCATTTATGATTCCTTCTTGTTTACTTCTACGTGTGATGCTTTTGTTAACTACTGATTTCGCTTTCGGCCTTAAGTTAGAATTTCCAATTTCTTTTGTAACAACAGAGAAAAGGTGTATATAAATTCTATTAATTCATAACACGAATAGTTTTAACGAAGTTTAAAATATATATGTCTGCTCTTCTTCTTTTCTGAAAAAGGAGAGGATCAGAGAACTGCTAGAGTGTTTGGCTGAACCACACAGTAACATCGTTACAATTTTCTTGGACTTGCTCAAAAGATATCAATAATTCCAGAGTGATAATAAATGTACATCCCAAAATAGGAATGTAAGATTGATAATAATAATAATTAAATAAATAAAGATGGAGACAAAAATACATAAAAGAAGAAATAATAGAAAGAAAAATCGAGTACAAGCAAGATGAAAGAGAAAAAGAAATGTATGTTAAATATTTTTCATAAACTTACCTGCCAAAGTTTTTTTTTTTTTTGTGTGTAATAGAATGAAAAATTATTACATAATTTAGTATAGTATCTTGCATTCATGGTTTAAAAAAGTATCATATGCCAAACTATGTCAACAACACATTGCAGCAAATTGCTGAATGTATATGCATAAATTTCAAAAAGTTCGTATATAACGTATAATTAAGAATCATTTTTATTTGACTTTTTTGAAGGTGATTCTCCCTCGAACCATGATTTAAATGGTCTATTAGTGAACCATTAATATCCATTAGATGTATAATGTTAAAATAATAAATGATAGATCAAATAATTTATTTCACTAAAATTATCTATTATAACATGTTAGAAAAACTATTCCCTCTTTTTTCAAGGAAAAAAAATTGTATTTACATTTTAGTCCTTTTAATTTATTTATTCTAATATATATAGGAGATACTCTTTCTTATAATTATTTTTTTGTCTCTACAATTATGTTGATCATTATACTTTTGATTATTAAAAAATAAAAAAATTATTTTCTTAATAATTATCATATGTGTTGTTAACATCAGTCGATCAATTAAACTGAAAATCGATCAATCTATCAATTTAGAAGAACTATAAACGTGGTGTGTAAATAGTTTATTAAAAATTGGATGAATTGACTCAAAATTGGTTAAGAATCAATTCAAAATACCAACTTGAACTAGTCTTTCTAAAAAAATGTTTTTTTTTATTTTCTAAATTTTTATGATAAATAAATAAATATATTTAATCAAAATTATAAATTAAAATAAATTATGTTATTTATTACTTTTAATAATTTTCTTATAAAAATATAATTTAGTCATTAATATTAATTTATA